AATATAAATCATTGAATTTCCATTCAGTGATATGAAATATATACTTTCGATATAACATCTGAAGATTCTGATTTCAATCTGTGATAATATCGTGTATATGAACTATTAAGAAATCTTCCACAAGGAAAAATAGCTATTCACTTCTTCCTTATTTTTATAAATATCCAAATAATTCAGTACAAATTGTGAAATCACTAAATCAGCTTATTTGTTAAATTACGTGATTAAAAGAAAATCTTATCATATTTAGAAGAAACTTTGACTTTCTTCTGACTTCAATCAGACAGTAGATTCTCTTATTCTGAATTGGATTTTATAAAAACTTCTGAATCTCAAATGCCCTGGTGCGGCCGAAGGTTGAGAGAGTCAGCCCTTCTTCTCGAAATGCTCTCATATGACCACGAGTATACAGCCACTGCCAGGGAAGTCCTAATCACTGCCTTCTCACCACTGGGGTGTTGTTTACGTGATTGAGAAGACGAAAAGCGAACGTCCGGTGCTTTAACCCGGTTGGTGGACACGAAGAGTCCAGCGAAGGGAGTTGGAAAACCTTGATTCACCGGCTGCCATGTGACTGAATCTCCTGACGTTGTTTCACTGCTTAGTGGATTGAACCTTTGGGTCAAAGGCTCGGGTTGTGCCCCCCCCCTAAGAAAACCACCTGCTTCAGCTTGAGCATTCGGACAGTATCATAGCCCACACATATATCAAGTGACTTGTTTGGCGCATATGTATTTGGTGCCCCGTTGTATGAATATTTATTTATTCAAAGAAAAACATTCCAGTAGGATAAGTACAGATTTTCATACTAATGTATGATTAGATAACTTCTCAAACTATGGAAATTGTATGATTTTACGATCATAAAGAACTAACCATATATCATTTTTAAGGATATACCTTTTATTCTATAGTGTTACACCGTAAACTGTCTACTTTTGTTCACTATTTCAATCCAATTCCATTATCAAAGGGATTATGAACAATAAAGGAATCAATAAGTTAGTTGGAAGATATTGCCCGTGTTAAGTGGTTGCTGATTGTCACATTTAACTCACAATCTATATACTACTTAAATTGATTTTTAATAAATTGATATAGAATATAAATAGGACGCAATTGATTGTATCGTTTTAAAAGATTATACTAGATTTAATGTAATAACTGAAGTTTATAGTCAAATAGAGCAGTTAAATCTTTACACTAATAAAACAATAGGTGATAACGGAGTTAGTTAACTCCATTGAACAAGTTGGTGGCTATCAGTATCCAAGTTTATGACGAGATGGTGTTTAAAATGAACGGTCCTAGGTTCGTGTTGCGGAGTGAACATCAACTCTGGAATGTTGAGAAATTCAACCAGCCAATCTCAGATAGGAAGAAACGCGTGTTCTAGATTCCACTGCTAGAAACTATCCGTTTTCCGAGTTCGATTCACCATGGGACTGTTGATCTGCATTGACAGGAAACGTCAAGTTAAACACAAAGTTTATATCCTTCACTCATTTATCTAATCACAATTGGTTATTTTCGGACAATTAACTGCGGTAATACTTTACTCATTCATTTGTGTTCAGTTAACCGGTTAGTATTTATGAGCTTCATAAACCTAAATCACCACATATCTTATGCTAAATTTAGACAAGAACGACTGAGGTATCTTAGTTTCCGGTTAGTGTAGAGTAAGTTCTATTTACGAATGATTGAGGTTTCTACTGCGACGCCATGAATAAGGATTCAGATAGACTGAATGTCTGTCACACAACAGCACTTTAACGTTAAACATCCACACATAGTAATAGAGAAGGTGAGACCTTCAGGATAACTTTATATTCCTTACAGAAGTCAAAAACTGAAAAAAATTTTACTTTATTCTATAGTACCATGTTATTAACTTGGAGTGCCTTATGAAGTTAATAGACTAAAAATGCTAAGCAATCAGATGATAACAAATATTATTCTGGAAATACAGCAGGTGTGTCGTGACTCGGATAGCTTAGTGGTCACGTCTCTGATTATGAATCTGAGTGACATGAGATCAAACCCATCAGGGGTCATCTGTCCTCTCAAGATTACCGGTACAATTGTGGTGTGTGCTACTGATGTCGACAGACATGAACAATATGTATCACTAATGGAAAATGGAGTGCTTCGACGTAGATGGCTGAGAAAACCGAAGAGAAGAGAACGAGAACAAAGATTGATTGGTGTGGAAACGAAGGAGCAATTAAGTTTGAAACAATCGATTGACATTTAGCAAATAAAGTATTTACTGTACGGTTCTTAGATTTTACTAAGCGATTCTGTAATGGTGTATTGGAATTCATTTGGTTGTCTCCACTGATGTTCTCGTTCACTACAAACCTTGCTGACGAGAACCAATGACATGAAATCCATGTCCAAGGTTTCCTATCGACAACCTTAGATCTCAATATAGTGCACTTGATGCTGAGTCATCTAGATTAGTGGTCAACTTGCAACTTGGTCAATAAGACCCGAACTGCACTAAAAAGGTTCTAACACACATAACATGTAATAGTGAAAAAAACGAGATAATCTGATTCCATATTTACAATCTAGTTATGAAATTACTTAATAAGTCATTCACTAAATAAATTTTCTAATCACTTCAATGTAATGACTCACAAACTAACACACACACACACACACACACACAAACAAACACCAATAGCCATCTTTCTCTTTCCCATCATTACAATGTATAAACAAAATATTTTTCAGTTATAAGGTGGGAAAGATCAAATTTTTGTTTAATGCAAAATTACAAACTGTCTTTATTAACACATCATTCATCAATTGTTCCTTCATTTCTGTTGTTATTACGATTACTGTCTGTCTGTATTTCTGTTCTCTTCAATTTGATCTTTTCATCCTATTGTTGCCAGGCATTCCACTACTGTTAAGTTTTATATACAATCATTGCAACCTGGAACCATTGAAAAGTCCGGGTATGGGACTCCTCAAAAGTGTGCGTCTACAACCTCACCATCACATATTGAACCGAAGAAATTAGATCGCTCGCGCGACTATTCAGTATTTAAACAGCTGAGTAGGAATCCAATGGTGTAAATGTTTAAATCCAATCAATCATTTATTTAAGTCATAAATAGAAATTCAGTTGAATGTTTTCTAGTTATTTGAAAGCATTTCACAATGGATAATGTTAGGTTGTTGAACATAGGTTTTAGGAAACTTCGCTAGACTTAAGTTTCTTGCTAGTTGATGCTTGTTAGCTCGCTGTACGTTCAATCATGAGAGAGCTCATCTTTTTTGATGAATTCAAATCTACATCAACCAAATTTACAGTATCAGACTTTATCACTGAGTAAGTCGACCTGTAACCGGCACTCTATAGACTGAGATAGTAACATTGCTTGGTCACTGACAAATAACTTATGTCATGTCCTTCTAGCCCTTTAATGTTGATGAAGTTCCATCATTGACCACTAAAAACTATGGGTAATATTTGTTTTTCCTTTAAAAAAGAAACAGTTGAACTGATGTAAGTCATATGAATTATTTTCTCTCACTTATTATTATTACCTTAGCCCATGTTTACAGGTCTGAACTCATTTATCATTCTTGACAGGAATCGGATGGGGGACAAAAAGAGAGTGTTCACTGAATCACTGAACAATTTACAGATCAGTGAAACATAAAGAAACATTTAATAAGGTTACACACTTATAACGATATATGCCTAACCTCCTATTAACAGGTCATATTCATAAAACATTTGTAAACAGTTTAAAGAGAATACTTGCGAATGTTTACATGATACTGACAAAATGTTTCTCTCTCTGTGTGTGTGCAATAGCAATCGCCATTAAGACATGAGTGTGATACGAACACGACAAAACTTATTTAAATTATTAAAAGGCGTTAAAAGGACGTTAAACAGAATGAAAGATGGTCACGCAATTTCGTGATTTGGTTGAGGTTAAACATTAACACAGTTGGATGCCGGCTCAGTGGTCTAAAGATTAAGCGTTCGTTCGCGAGACCGAAGATCCTGCGAGCGTGATCCTGGATGTGTAATGTTGAGGATTCTCATAATAGAACGAAACGACCGTCCATTGTGTCCAGGTTTTCAATAGTGGTCTCATATCAATCGATTCATAATCTCAATCAAAAAACAATACTTTTCATAACTCCATACTGGGAATTGTTTTGCTTAGCTCCGTTGTCACTTTTCGCATTGTAGTTATAAGAATTTAATTTCATATAAGCAGAATACTTCATCAGTCAATATTTGGCAACTCACATATAAGCCTGCCCTAATATGGATTTCATACGATGTTAAGAGCAAATCATGGGAATGTTCTGCTTTCTACTGAACTAATCCAACTGTATAGTATAGGAGTTAACACTATTCAATGATCATAAATGTCTACTGACGTTCCGTGATGAACACCGAAAAATCCAATAATCTTTCCAAACTCCTTGCACTAATAATAATAATAATATACTCACTAATAACTGTTTCCGTGAAGTAATTCTTGGAGTTTTAGTAAGAGACCATTACCAGTGGAGTTCAGCTGTATCATGATCGAGACAGTTTACCTATCAATGAAGTCTCATAATACTTGCGCATTTTCACGAACTGGGAATTAAACACTCTGTGAAATCTAAATAACCCATGACTTAACACTTACTGAAATTGTGAATGTGCACTATTGAGTTCTTGTATTAAAACAAATCAGTTATCCAGTTTTTCTTGATTTTTAATGATTATCTAACTTGGATGCCGACTCACTGGTTTAGACGTTAAGCGTTCGTACGCAAGATTGATTAGTTCTGGGTTTGAAACTCGCCAGGCATGATCGTGGATATACAATGTTGAGGAGTCTAATACTAGGATGAAACAGTCGTCCAGTGCTTCCAGGTTTTGAATTCATATTCATATCGTTCAATCAATAGTTCAATCCCATTTACTCTGACTTTTTCTTTTTCTTTTTCGACAAACTACTCAACTTTAGGTTGAATTAGCTACTGAACAAGAAACATTAATGAATGATGAAAATTTATTGAATAATGATAATGATAATGAAGAACATAAAGGAATAAATGATACCATAGATACAAATGATAAACAACAATTAGTTAATTGTTCACTTGATAAAAGTATCATTGATAATTGTAATAAAAATATAAAAAAAATGAAATCTACATTGATGAAACATAATCGTGATATTTCACCATTAGGTGGGTATTTACATACAACAGGTTATTATTCTATGAAATCATCCACAACAACAACAACAACAACATCACCTTCAAGACCATTAAGTACTATTGAATTAGATCATGAAATTGATATTATGCTTGATGAATTATCCATTGATTGTTTACAAAATAAAGATTCTAATCGATTATCTAATGATATTCAACATTCTAAACTTAAAGAACATTCAATACGTCCATTAAGTTTATTGAATACTTCAAATCATAATGAAGATGATATAGATAGTTTAATGAATCATGAACAATATGATAATGATAATCAATATAATTTACCTGAATTGAATACTTATGTCAAAATATGTAAACCAAGAAAATTTGGATTAAAAGTATTTCATCGTTATTATATATCTATTAAAGGAATTGAATTATATGTTTATAAGGTAAGTATTGTTTATTGTGTGTGTGTGTTATTATTAGTATTATCTTAACACACAGATATTGGTACAAGGAGATACCAAATACATATGCACCAAACAAATCTCATTCGATATGTGTAAGGGCTGTGAAACTGCCTGGGTACCCAAACTGAAGCAGATGGTTTTCTTAAGGGGCCACTCCCCGAGCCTTCGACCTGAAAGTTTGATCCACAAGGCAGTGGAGCGACGTAAGGAGTTGCAGTCCCATGGAAGCCGGTGACCAACAATTGGTTCATACGCCATTTGTTCCTTCAGGATACTGGAGCCCATATGCACCATTGGTTTGGAATCCGGTTAAAGCGCCGGACATTCGCTTTTCGTCCTCTCATTTTCGTAAACAACACCCCCTCCACAAGAAGACAGTGAATAGAACTTCCCTGGCAGAGGCTATATACGCGTGGCCATGTGAGAGGATTTCGAGAAGGAGAGCAGACTCTCCTCACTCTCGGCCATACCAGGGCATTTGGGGCATTAGCATCAAAACAATATAAATATTTATAAACAGTTGTTTACGTAAGATATTCAATATCCATTTGGTTGGATATCATCAACTGTTTACTCAAGATACTGGATGTCCGTTGACCGGTTACCATCAACAACAGCGTAATATGGGAGAGAACAAATCAGCTTCTAGTTGAAGAGGTAATTAAGAAAATGATGTTGGAAGTGGATAGGATATATATTGAGGAAATCATAAAGCAATCGCTAACTTGGAATCGTGAAAGGAAACTGAAAAGAGGAAGGTCGAAGAACACACAACATGAGTAGGATGAATAGCAACTAGGAAAAATTGTCTAGAATAGAGTTAGATAGAGAATGCTTGTAATTGGCCTATGCTCCTCCAAAAAGAGTAACAGACGTAAGTATTTAAGTAAGTAAGTAAGTAAGTAACTCCTTGACTTGCAACTTTCAAAGTTACGTAATCACTATGGCTAGGTTGTAACACTAGTAGTATAAAGTCAAGTGTACTAACTCATTCTAGATAATTTGGTTAATAAGTATATGATTTCTCCTTATTAAAATTCATTATTCTGATTTATCACTCTATATTGCTATATACATAACTTTAGTAGATTTATTTAGTCTAATGAGAAAATTACTGGGTTAGAATCTTAATGTAAACATCGAAACTGAAATTTTAGTGGTCGAGGATCTGACTCTAGTGAGATCGTTTAAGATTTCTATGCAATTTGTGTATTAACTACTTATAAGTAATATAGTCGATTAACAGTAACTCAACTTACTTTTTGACTAATAGACTATAAGTCACTGCTTGTCACTAGAACTCCAGGAAATAGCTGTTGAAGCCAGTTACCAGTGAGCATATGTTGATTAGTATCAGAAAGGTTTTTGTGCAGCTCAACTGGATCTTTTGTGAGATAGTGACTCACTGAAGACAATAGTGGATATGTCGCTCACTTTCGTGGATTAGTTGAAGTTAGGCATTAACACCGTTGGATGCCGGCCAACTCAGTGGTCTAGAGGTTAAACGTTCGCTCACGAGACCGATAGGTCCTGAGTTCGAATCCTGTGATGCAGGACCGTAGATACGCACTGTTGAGAATTCCCACAATTGGATGAAACAGCTATCCAGTTCTTCCAGGTTTTCCATAGCGATCTAGCTTCAATTGACTCATGATCTCAAATGTTAAGATTACTATAATATCCAAAAAATCCCTTCTGATACTAACAGACCGTAGTTTAGAAGTAAACAGCTCTATGTATTACTGGATTTCTAGCATAGAATGACACTTATACGTAACGTATCTCAAATGTTACAATTTATAAGCAAATAAGGTTGTCAAATTTAAACGAGTCATATACATGCTGTCATTTCATGGACTCTGGCATCATTCTTTAAGCATATAGAGCATTGGTGTAGATGTTTTACATTGAAGTTTTATTATTCATCAGGAATATATTAGTTAGATAACTAGTAAAAACCCATGAAGAACTGAAGAAATTTTTCGTTCTAGTAAAGAATATCTCAATCATTCATACACCCATCCGGTACTGAATACGAGACTTTGTGCCTTAATGGTAAACAGCCAAAATGTAGACAATTCATTAGTTTACATTAAGTTTGTAAGTTCACAATATGATTCTAACATTCATCAGTTCTGTCTAGAATGTGTTTATGGGTATTCACTGTGTAATTCTTATACTTGAATCAAATAATGGTTCAGATTTTCTTTGTTTTTAATAACTATCTAACTTATATCATTATACTCATTGAATAACATGCCCAAACCCTAATCTTTCCGATTACTGCTTATACTCTTGCCACCTCTACCTCTACGGGATTTGAATTGACAACTGCATGTCTGTTCTAATGTGGTACGGCAACTCGAACTGATGTACGTACGTACGTACGAAGTTCTACGTTGTTACTGACTGACTGACTGACTGACCGACTATATCATTACAGTATTCATCGGTGAAACGAATTTCTTTCTTTTTCTTGATCTTCTTCATTTTTTTTCATTTCTCCTAGAACAAAGATGATTATTTATCAAATAGTGATACAGTTGAAGTAATCTATTTACCAGGATGTGAAATACAATCAGATTTATGTATTACTAATGAAAAATTTAATATACGTTTATTTGTTCCAATAACACGTACTAATTTACCATTATCATCTGCATTTGCTTCATATCAATCAAATAAGATACAAACAAATGATGAAGATCCAACTATAAGTAGTAAATTAAAACGTAGAGCATCATTATTATCATTAACTTCATTATCCCATTTAAGTAATGCTCTTGGTATATCATCATCATCCTCATCATCATCATCACATCATCATACACAGAATGGACTGATTAATATAAGTGGTATTGGTGCATTAACTGGTTCATCTGCTACTATGACTGGTCTTATCAATGAATTATGGTTAAGATTTTTTAATTTAAATGATTACATAGATTGGTTAACAATATTACGTATGACAACAGCTATACAATCAACAATCATACTACATTCTTATACAAATATCTCTAATACATCATCGAAGAAATCATCTAAGAAACAACAGACTATTCTTACTTCTTTATTAAATCGTTCCACATTCAATATAGAACATAAAGCAATTACAAATCTCATCAATTTATTATCACCAAATTGTTTAAATGTTAAACAAACAAATAATGAAATGATCAATTTAACTAGATTATATAATCATTTAGAGAAACGTTTCATTGATCTATTACCATTAAGATTAGGTTATTTAAAAGTATCACAAAGAACATGGGATTATAGACGAGATCATTATTATAATCATAATGATAGTTTATTAAAACGTTCAAATACTTTAACAAATCAAGATAAACCTCCAATTCATTCACAAACTATACAAGTAAGTTTATATTGAAATTTTATTTTGAATTGATATGAATGTTCATTGTTATTTGATCATGAAAGCGGTTTGATTTCCACAAGGTAGTGGAACAACGTAAGGAGATGTAGTTCTATGGTAACTGGTAACCAATGATTAATTCATATGCTATTTGTTCTTTTAGAATACTGGAATCCATGTATACTATTAGTTTGGAATAAGGGTGAACTCTCTATGTCCACCATCCCGTTTTAAGCACTGGACATTCACTTTTAGTCCTATCAATCTTGTAAACAACACCCACGTCATGTCAGTAGTTGTATGCACGTAGCCATGTGAGAGCATTTCAAGATGTCAACCTGACTCTCCCCACTCTCAGCCGTACCAGCGCACATAAACCAAGATTTATGTGTCTATTAGCTACGATAATTCGATTCTATAGTCCGCCAATAAGTAGTTCACTTTATCAGTATAGGATTGCAGAGATTATTAAGTTATTGATTGAGATCATGAACCGATTGACGTTAGACCACCTTTGGAAATCTGGAAGTAATGGATGGTCGTTTCGTCTTATTGTGGGACTCCTCAACAGTGTGCATCCACGATCCCGCTCACAGGGTTCGAACACAGGGCCTTCAGTCTAGTGCACGAAAGCTCAACCTACTAGACCACTGAGCCGGTATCAAACGATGTTAATGTCTAACCTCAACCAATCCACGAAAGTGCCAGACCATCTTCCATTGTAGTGAGGTAGATAACTGTCTCTACCCGACACAGATTAGCTCCACTGGTCACGGCTTTAATCTTTTAATCGGTAACATAAATAATCTGCACAATCCCATTTTGATAATTTAGTCGAGGAAAATTGAACAATTATTTCATATCACTGGTAAGACTGGTTGGAAAGAGTTGTTTGTACTGGTGTAATGGTTCACAGGAAATCGCTGGTCTCAGAACAATTCAACCGGAGTGGTAGCAAAGCAGAGTGAATAGTTGTAAAGTGCGAGAATAAGTGGATTGTACACATATGATTATTTCATTCTTAGACTTCTCAATAAGGCTCATATGATATATTGGATTGATTTAACTTCAAATCATGTAAAATCGAATGTCAACCGAATTGTCTGAATAGATCTTTTTTGATGCAAATGACGTCAACTTAAAAGCCATTTTACGTATCTGTGCATCCTTAACAGATTGACTCGATATACTCTTTATGATACAAGTTGATATCGAATAGATAGAATGTGGCTGACGGTAGAATTCAGGGGACTGACTGTCTGGTCTCAGTAGCTAAGTGAATAAAGAGGTGATGTCTGAAGCGAAAGATACTGGATTTAAGTCCTTCAGCAAACATCGACTTTAGGATTCAAGTAAATCCAGCTGACGAGTCTCAGATAGAACAAAACGCGTGTCATGGATTCCATGGCTATCTATTCTTTATAAATTACATTGTTTCTTGACTGAATGATCTAAAACATTTGACATTAAATCATTAAATCTCAGGTTTAAGTGGCGTTTTAAATCATCTGGCAAAACTTACACAATTGAGTTGCAATCATAATGTTTGTATATAGATCAGGTTCATCCATGGGACCGACAGTCCTATATTCAAATCCCGTGCATTGTATCATGTATGCCCACTGCTGAGGAGTCTCATACTAGGACGTAACAGCCATTCATTGCTTCCAGGTTTTCAATAGTAGTCTAACATCAATCGTTTCATGATTTCAATCAAAACTCAATCTCTCATTCTTTTAGTAAGTTTATTAATCAGCTATTTTAAAGTTATCATTATGATCATAAATCGATCAGTATTAAACTACCATTGAATACCTAGAAGTACTGAACGATTGTTTCATGTAAAGGTTAAGGGTTCATGCACGGGACTGACGGTCCTGTATTCAAATCCCATACATTGAATCATACATACTCACTGCTGAAGAATCTCATACTAGGACAAAACAGCTGTCTATTACATCCACATTTTCAATCGTGATCTAACATTAATCGATTCATGATCTCAAACAAAATCCAAAAATCATTATTGACCTAATACTTATATTTATTTTCAATTGTTGAGATCATGAGTCAATTGAAGCTAGACCACTATGGAAAACCTAGAAGCAGTGGACAGCCACTTCGTCTTATTGTGGGACTCCTCAGTAGTGCGCATCCATGATTCTGTGCTGCAAGATTCGAATTCAGGATCTACTGGTCTCGTGCGCGAGCATTTAACCACTATACCACCGAGCCAGCTGGCATCTAACGGTGTTAATGTCTAACTTCAACTAATCCACGACATTGACCGACACATCCACAATTGTCATCAGGGATTTACTATCTCACAACTGACTCGGTTGAACACCATTGGTCATTGCTTCTTCACTAGAACTCCTGGATATACATCAACAATTATTATTCATCTAATAGTTACAATTATACTCATATATGATATGTTTTTCTCTTACTTTATTGTTCTTATTAGACACGAACAAATTTTATTCAACGTATTACATCTATATATAGTCAAATTAATAATTTAACTAGTTTACAATGTAAATTAAAATATATTAATGTATGGGAACAATTACATTTACATGGTATTGCATTTTTTACTGGACGTATTGAAGTCATTGTACCATTGAATTCAATCATTCATAATGATAATAATCCATTATATAATGATAATAATAATCAAATCAATTGGTTATCTAATATCAATCAATCAATCATTCATCATAATCATTATGTAACTATATCAATAAGTCGTAAAATAGAATCAATCGGTATTGGTTCTAAACGAATTTATCGTTGTGATTTAACAAATGGTGATATTATAGCAAGTTGGAAAATGTCATCAATACAAAGTTGGCATATTAATTGGGAATTAAATGAACTTATATTAAATTTAATGAATCAAACAAAAATTCAATCAAACATTAAGAATACTACTACTTATAATATTAATAATAGTAGTAATAGTAGTAATAGTAAAATAGATTATCAATCTATTAGTAAATTTAATGAATTTACTGGACGAGTTATTATAAGACCAATAGATGTATCTGTAAGAATGATAGCTGAATTTTTAGGCGGTTATACATTTTTAAATTTAAGATCACCAGAGAAAAATCAATATCTTGCTGAAGATATTTTTTATAAATTAACTACTGGTATATCACAACCATCAATTTAATCAAATGTAATGGATGATTACATGAACTTGAACGATGATGATGATGATGATGATGATGATTAAATCAAACCTTTGAATGCTGACGTCTTTCAATGATCGATTATTTTATTGAATATTTGTTTGTTTGTTTGTTGGAATTGCATGCCGTAAAACTTATCTTGTCTATTTGTATCTCTCCCACTTATTGACATATATATATCTATATGTGTGTATACATCCATATAACTCTTGGTCAATGGTTCAGTTTATATACATACAATATACATACTATATAGATAGAAGTATACATACATGGATACTACATGCATACATCTTCCCGTATATATTTTACCGAGTTTATTATTATTATTATTATTATTATTGTTCATAATATCTTTTATTGATTAATAATATAAACTAATTTTCTTTATCATTTTATCAATGATCCTATTTCCTATGACAACTAATTATATCCTTTATAATAATTCACTTGAATGATCTCATGGAGAGTTATTTTTAAGAGATTGTAACTATGCATAAAAACAAATCTAATCTATACATTGATTTATTGAATTATATTAATAATGAGATCATATTGTTTTCTTTTCTTTTCTTTTCTTTTCTTTGCTTTACTTCTTTATCTATTACTTATATTCATTTCGGTAGTACAAGTTGTGATGATGATGATGATGGCGGTAGCGGTGGGGGGGGGGTCGGGAAAAGATCAAAAAGGTTATTGAATATATTTGATTGTGTAGTATACAAAATGATAGGCATCATGATTTGGTTCTTTTTATTTTCACATTCATGAACTATTTTATTGATTTAATCTTTTTAGATGCTTGTTATTATTATTATTATGATGATGATAATGATAATGATTACTATAATATTTATGGCACTACTTATTTCAGTAGTGCTGGAGAGAACATAGAAAAGAAAGAAAAATAATAATATGACTTCCTATTCATTTATGTATCTTTATATTACGATGCTTTTCAATTGTTTCACTCATCTCGTTTTTTTGCGTGTGCGTGTGCGTGTGTGTGTGTCTGTGTGTAGTGTTTAGTTGCTAAGACATTATTCACACCTAAGAAATATACACATGGATTTTGTTGGTTTTCATTGATTATCATTATTCTATAAAAAAAAAATAATAATAATACATTTACAAAATGATTTACCGCTAGTTTTAATTGGCAAAATCATCATTTCACTTGCTTGATATAAGATTGGGGGGGGGGGTTGAATTGATCAAATTGTTACATTTGATGTTTATATATGTACTGTATAGATGTGAAGGTGCATTTCATTATTGAATCGGTGTCATTTGACAAATTATTGTAAACTTTTAAAGTAGTATCAAGAAGTATCAATTAAGTATTAAGTTGATATCTGTTGACTAGTAATCGAAGCTTTTATTATCCTCATGATAGATTGTTGATAGATAATTGATGTAGTTTAAGAAGACCTGATTTCATTGATTCTATCTTCTTAATCACTTATTCATATTGAATACAGTTATTGATCAACACAAATTGTTTCTAACATCGTTGGATGCTGGCCAGTTCAGTGGTCTAGAGGTTAAGCGTTCACACGCGAGACCGATAGGTCCTATGTTCGAATCTCACGAGGCAGGATCGTGGATACGTACTGCCGAAGAGTCCCATAGTAAGAAGAAACAACTGTCCAGTGCTTTTAGGTTTTCCATGATGATCTAGCTTCAATTGACTCATGATCTCAACTCTTAAAATTACTATAATATCCACACAAAACCCCTTCAAATATGAAATTTGAGTACATTTAAAACTATTAATAATAACAATAATCGTTTAAAAATAACTCAAGTAACCATTTTGTAGCCTTAAATTGATTCCAGTTGAATGGTAACAATAATGAAGCGTAATTACTAAATTAATTTCATATATTATACTTAAGCTAACTGTTGTGCCTACCCTACCCTACCCCCCCCCATTTGACATCATAAGCAAGAATACAAGAGTGGACACGAAAGTATATTAAATTACCGAATAAAATATACAATTACTTATTCAGATATGTACAACTCAACCCTTTTAGGAAATCAATCCATTTCTTATCCACTGAAATGCATTTATCTATCAAGTTACTTTTGATTACTATCGAATGACTTCATTAGGCTACTTCTGAATGGCTCACTATATCATGAACCATATTGTACAATGATGATTATAAGGTGTAAAATATGTCGAAATGATTCATTTGAGACATTTATTTACATAGACAGATGATAAGAGATGTAGTACAGTGATAGATAATACAACAATGTATGAAATACATGTAAATAGATAGGTACATACAAATAAACCATCAATACACATGATGGTTGTTATAACTTGTGGTCTGAGTGTCCTGTTAATGTATAACGTAACAATACCGCCAATTAGAGAGCAGTGAATTATCGGTCGAACCAATGACGCATAAAACTCGTACGAGCAGTCTAGAGTCCTTATCGGTCCTGCTTTCCGCCTAGCCCAGCCAGTTAATTCAGAACACCAATCTCAACCTCTGCAATATGAATCATTTATTTCAAACATACGGGGTTTATATACCAATCAAACAGACCACAACGTACCATAAAATGGGAAACAACATTTGTACAAGACTTAACCAAATGTGGCTGTGAATGAGGGAGCTAGTAATTAATAGACAGGGCATAATTCAAGAATGGTAGATCGTATAATAATAGTTCATAGGTCAAAATGAACCTCATAAAAAAGGGAACATGAATATGAATAGTTTAGTTATTTAACAATTATGCAATGGAAATCTTCGTTTAGTATTGGTCCATAAATGGATCCCAAAAGTTACCATTCATTATGCTTATCGGGACATAATAATGGTAAACAGTTACCAAGGGCAAATAAATGAATAAGACAGAAGAAATAACAAAGTATAAACAGATTTCATTCAACTTAATAAAACTATTAATAGTTCCTATAGGTTACTTTATCAATATGAAGTGAACGAGAACATATAGCTGGAGACTAATGGAATGTCATTAAATACAAAATTAAATAATGCCTTAGTAAAATCTGAGAACCATATAGTGAATTATTTCTTCTGGTTAGCATTAGCGTTCACATAGAGGACAGCTGACAGATACATTTCAAGTAAGAACCGAAGTCAGACAAAGCTGTCTACTCTCTCCCTTCATCTTTCTTCTGGTGGTCGACTGGATTATGAAGACCTAGACATGTAAGGGAAAATATGGAATACAATAGACAGCTCAGAACCATTTAGACGATTTGGACTTCGCAGATGACTGAGCCCTCCTATCGCATACACACGAACAAATGCAGATAAAGACAGCCAGTATAGCAGCAGTCTTTGCATCAGTAGGCCTCAACATACACAAGGGGAAAACTAAGGTCCTTAAACACAGCACGGAGAACACCAACCCAATCACACATGATGGTGAATCTCTGGAAGATGTGGAATCCTTTACGTACCTGCGAAGCGTCATCGATGAACAAGGAGGTTCAGATGCAGACGTAAAGGCGAGGATTGGCAAAGCGAGGGCCGCATTCCTACAATTGAAGAACATATGAAATTCAAAACAACTTTCAACCAATATCAAAGTCACGAACGTCAAAACTTCTACTGTGCGGAGTTGAAACTACTACAACTATCATCAAGAAGGTACAAGTATTTATCAATAGCTGTCTACGTAAGATATTCAACATCCATTGGCCGGATACCATCAGCAACAGCCTACTATGGAAGAGAACAAACCAGCTTCCAGTTGAATAAACAATTAGAAAAATACGATGAAAATGGATAGGACATACATTATGGAAATCACCAAACTACATCATGAGACATGTGCTAACTTGGAATCCCGAAGGGAAGAGGAAAAGAGAAAGGCCATTGAGCACATTACGTCTGGAAATAGAAGCAGATATGAAGAGGATGAATAACAACTGGAAGGAGCTAGAAAGGATTGCTCAGGACAGGGTTGGATGAAGAGTGCTTGTGGTTGGCTTATGCTCCTCCAATAAGGAGTTACAGGAGTTAGTAAGTAAGTTATACAGTAAATTCTTCATTTGCAAAATGTCAATCAATCGTCACAGACTTCATTGTTCCTTCGTTTCCACACCAATCATCCATTATTCTCGTTCTGCTTTCTTCGATCTTCTTAACCTTCTGCCGCTAGACATTTAACTTTCCATTGATGATAAATTCTACTTATATCTATTGACATCAGTAACACACACCACAGTCAATTGTAAAAACAATATAATTTGTCCATCTATGAGAACTCTTAAAAGAATCCAAACAATCTTTTAGTGTCAAAAGGGGGTTTTGTGGAGATTTTAGTAATTGTATAGTTGAATTCATGAGTCATTTGGAGCTAGACCATCATGGAAAACGTGGATGATCGTAGATGCGCACTGATGAAGAATCCCACAATAGGATGAAACCGCCGTCCAATGCTTCCAGATTTTTCATGGTAACCTAACTTCAATTAACTCATGACTTCAACTACGTTGTTCTTAATTACAATTACGATTTTAATTAGGAATTTATATCAGCGAAATTGTAAAAATATTTTGTAGCCATACAGTTAAACTTATTCTATTAAAGAAATACAGGATATAAAACAGGATAAAAGTTACTACAATCAATCTGTGATGGTGGCCAATGACTTAGAATAGCTTAGATTCTTGAGTCGCAAAATCTCATTTCTTCCTCGTTCTATACCAAATCGTTCTTATATCTTGATAATAAACTACATGATAAGATCATCAGTGATAAGCATCGGCTTATATGACTTTGGCATTGTGCCAAATGAATGATGCGTTAACCAGTACCATCAGTCTAAAGTTAACTCTGAATCCTTCTCTTCTAATTGTATCCATTAAGTCTAGAATACAATCTCACCTTTCATTGTATGAATCACTTATTTCAAACATACTGGAGTTTATATACAAGCAATTTAGACTACATCATATCATAGAATAGAAAATAACAATTATACAACATCAAGCCAAAAGATGATTGTGAATGTGAGAGATTTGCAACGAATAGGTTAAGAATAACTTAAGAATAGTAAATCATATCATCTTAGTCAATAGATTAAATGGAAGCTTATAATGAAAAAGAATATGAATATTCATATAATACTGTTACAGATATTACACGGTAATAAAGGTAAAGAACATGATTACGTAATGAAGTTTTCTTGTAAAGTTTTCTATCAAAGAGAATATATGACAAGTTCAAAAAACGTGAAGAATCATTTCAGTAACTGAAGGTGATATTGGCAAATAATTATAAAATATTAAAAGGAAATATTAATGTGTTATAT